AATGATATAATATCAGACAGACAGTATGGTTTTCGATCTGGAAGATCCTGTGTATCGAATTTACTCAGTTTCTATGATCGAGCCACAGAGATATTACAGGAAAGAGATGGTTGGGTTGACTGCATCTATCTGGACCTAAAAAAGGCTTTCGACAGAGTTCCACATAAGAGGTTGTTCTGGAAACTGGAAAATTTTGGAGGGGTGACAGGTAAGCTTCTATCATGGATGAAAAATTTTCTGACTGATAGAAAAATGAGGGCAGTAATCAGAGGCAATGTATCAGAATGGAGAAATGTCACAAGTGGAGTACCACAGGGTTCAGTTCTTGCACCAGTGATGTTTATTGTGTACATAAATGATCTACCAGTTGGTATACAGAATTATATGAACATGTTTGCTGATGATGCTAAGATAATAGGAAGGATAAGAAATTTAGATGACTGTCATGCCCTTCAAAAAGACCTGGACAAAATAAGTATATGGAGCACCACTTGGCAAATGGAATTTAATGTTAATAAATGTCATGTTATGGAATGTGGAATAGGAGAACATAGACCCCACACAACCTATATATTATGTGAGAAATCTTTAAAGAATTCTGATAAAGAAAGAGATCTAGGAGTGGTTCTAGATAGAAAACTATCACCTGAGGACCACATAAAGAATATTGTGCAAGGAGCCTATGCTATGCTTTCTAACTTCAGAATTGCATTTAAATACATGGATGGCGATATACTAAAGAAATTGTTCATGACTTTTGTTAGGCCAAAGCTAGAATATGCAGCTGTTGTGTGGTGCCCATATCTTAAGAAGCACATCAACAAACTGGAAAAGGTGCAAAGACATGCTACTAAGTGGCTCCCAGAACTGAAGGGCAAGAGCTACGAGGAGAGGTTAGAAGCATTAAATATGCCAAAACTAGAAGACAGAAGAAAAAGAGGTGATATGATCACTACATACAAAATAGTAACAGGAATTGACAAAATCGACAGGGAAGACTTCCTGAGACCTGGAACTTCAAGAACAAGAGGTCATAGATTTAAACTAGCTAAACACAGATGCCGAAGAAATATAAGAAAATTCACCTTCGCAAATAGAGTGGTAGACGGTTGGAACAAGTTAAGTGAGAAGGTGGTGGAGGCCAAGACCGTCAGTAGTTTCAAAGCGTTATATGACAAAGAGTGCTGGGAAGACGGGACACCACGAGCGTAGCTCTCATCCTGTAACTACACTTAGGTAATTACACTTAGGTAATTACATGTAATTATAAATGTTTTGTTATACTGTTTTAATGTTTACCTTATGAAGAGTAGTTGTTGGCTTGAGGGAGACGATGGGGAGGTGGGAAGGAGGAGAGGGGTTATGGTGTGGAAGGAGAATCCACCTTTGAGTCAGGCGGATTCTCTCTTCTTGGGAATTTCACCCAAATTTCATTTCAAATGTCACACAAGGATGCGTTAGACCAGCACCAAATAAAAAACTACGTCGATTGCACTCGTGTCAACAACACAATGGTCTTACCACGAAGATACAATACAATGCCTTTCTCCCAAATAGGCTATGTGGCTATTAGAGAAAACGGAAATTTCATGGCAAACATGTTTATACTATCCCCAAGTCGATCGGATAAGAATTAGATTTTATAGAAATATTTGCTCAAATGACACTTGAGCGCGGTGTTTGGGTGCATTCAAGAGAAAAAAGTGTGTCACGTTCAAGCGACATATACCTGCGAAAGTGATAACACTTTCACAAAGTGTTATCACAAAGTGATAAATTAATTAAACATTTTCACACACCGGGTTGTCACTGCTTTATCAGAGCAGCTTTTCCAAGAACGCGTTCACCTTTTCAAACATTCCCAACACTTCCCTGATCTCAGTGGAAGAGGCAACATCCTCCCTTACCTCCTTATTCCCTTACTAATGGTGTAAATTGTTGATGAGGACCTGCCATACTCCCTTGTGAGATCAGTCACACAGACACCACACTCATGCTTTGCTATAATTTCCTTCTTCAAATCCACAGTAATTGTGTCTTCCTCTTGAAAACACTATCTTTAGCAAGCAGCTTCTTTGGCGACATCGTGTGTTACAAATTGTAGTCACAAAACCACTAAAAACACAAAGAAAAGCGCAAATATATCCAAAGGAATGCTTGTCGTGTGCGATACAACAACAACACTGGCATCGGAGGCGTCCAAGAATTTGCGAGAACCTGCGAGACGCTAGGAAGCACCATGTGGTTTTGCTCGTTAATAGAGGTGAAGCTCGTCAATAGAGACAAATTTGCTGTGAGTGGCTCGCTCGTTACTGGAAATGCTCGTTAATAGAGCCGCTCGTTAATCGAGGTTCCACTGTATATATATATATATATATATATATATATATATATATATATATATATATATATATATATATATATATATATATATATATATATATATATACATATATATATATATATATACATATATTATTAAATATGACCGAAAAAGTAAGATTAATAATTCCAACACGAATTTTCTCAATCTTTCGTACATTTCTTTTCACTGTTGGAGGTAAATAAAAAATCAATTCTCCAAAATTCATTTTTATTTCTAGTCTGACGCGACACGAGCGCGTTTCGTAAAACTTATTACATTTTCAAAGACTTTAGTTTACAAATACACAACTGAATAGAACTTACGCATCTCCGATTTTATATCTACATTTGAGTGAGGTGGATGGGGTGAGGTGGCATTAATAGGGTATTAATTTCATCAACACAAGACAGAACAAGAGGTGGCATTAATAGGGTATTAATTTCATCAACACAAGACAGAACACGAAACAATGGGTATTGAATAGAAGTGTTTGTAGAAAGCCTATTGGTCCATATTTCTTGATGCTTCTATATTGGAGCGGAGTCTTGAGGTGGGTAGAATATAGTTGTGTAACTATATTCTATATAACCACAACTATATTCTACCCACCTCAAGACTCCGCTCCAATATAGAAGCATCAAGAAATATGGACCAATAGGCTTTCTACAAACACTTCTATTCAATACCCATTGTTTTGTGTTCTGTCTTGTGTTGATGAAATTAATACCCTATTAATGCCACCTCTTGTTCTGTCTTGTGTTGATGAAATTAATACCCTATTAATGCCACCTCACCCCATCCACCTCACTCAAATGTAGATATAAAATTGGAGGTGCGTAAGTTATATTCAGTTGTGTATTTGTAAACTAAAGTCTTTGAAAATGTAATAAGTTTTACGAAACGCGCTCGTGTCGCGTCAGACTAGAAATAAAAATGAATTTTGGAGAATCGATTTTTGATTTACCTCCAACAGTGAAAAGAAATGTACGAAAGATTGAGAAAATTCGTGTTAGAATTATTAATCTTACTTTTTCGGTCATATTTAACAATATATGTCTACAGGAAAGACTGCTACCAAAATATACTAATATATACATATATATATATACATATATATATATACATATATATATATACATATATATATATATATATATATACATATATATATATATATACATATATATATATACATATATATATACATACATATATATATACATATATATATATATATATATATATATATATATATATATATATATATATATATATATATATATATATATATATATATATATATATATATATATATATATATATATATATATATATATATATATATATATATATATATATATATATATATATATATACACACACATACATATATACATACATATATACAGTGGTAAATTGAATAACGAATACATATATATATATATATATATATATATATATATATATATATATATATATATATATATATATATATATATATATATATATATATATATATACATACTGAAAACTCACACCCCAGAAGTGACTCAAACCCATATTCCCAGGAGCAACGCAACTGGTATCTACAGGGCGCCTTAATCCGTTTGACCATCACAACCGGACAAGAGGAAGTGATAGCCGAAGCGGGGAAGTGCCGGCGGGGAAGTGGTTCAAATAGCTTCGGCTATCACTTCCTCTTGTCCGGTCGTGATGGTCAAGCGGATTAAGGCGCCCTGTAGATGCCAGTTGCGTTGCTCCTGGAAGTATGGGCTCGAGTCACTTCTGGGGTGTGAGTTTTCAGTCGCATATAGTCCTGGGGACCATTCAGGCTTGTTCGCATGCATGCATGCATGCATGCATATATATATATATATATATATATATATATATATATATATATATATATATATATATATATATATATATATATATATATATATATATATATATATATGTCGTACCTAGTAGCCAGAATGCACTTCTCTGCCTACTATGCAAGGCCAGATTTGCCTAATAAGCCAAGTTTTCATGAATTAATTGTTTTTCAACCTAACCAACCTAACCTAACCTAACTTTTTTGGCTACCTAACCTAACCTAACCTATAAAGATAGGTTAGGTTAGGTTAGGTAGGGTTGGTTAGGTTCGGTCATATGTCTACGTTAATTTTAACTTCAATAAAAAACAATTGACCTCATACATAATGAAATGGGTAGCTTTATCATTTCATAAGAGAAAAAATAGAGAAAATATATTAATTCAGGAAAACTTGGCTTATTAGGCAAATCGGGCCCTGCATAGTAGGCCGAGAAGTGCGTTCTGGCTACTAGGTACGACATATATATATATATATATATATATATATATATATATATATATATATATATATATATATATATATATATATATATATATATATATATATATAGTAATAATAAATATAAATGTGATGTACTGATATAGTCTTATTGTCTATTGTATCATATACTAAAACTCTAACAAGATCTTACTCATGCCTTTGTAAATACAATGACTAAAAATTAAAGTTATGAATTCTCAACACAAAAAGGAATCACAAATACAGTAATGCAAAAGAAGAAAAACATTTACAAATTTTTTTTTATGGTACAGTACTTTGAAAGCTGTAAGCTGAAACTGATACTGTGAACTGGGTCCACATTCTCCGAGTGAGTCCAATCGGTCGAACTGTCCTTTCATCTCTGTATCCACACATAGTCTCGGGTCTGCAAGACTCTGGATCTGTAAATGAAATGATATGACTTAGAAGAATAATAATAATAACAATAATACAGTAATAATAATGTTTACTCAGGTAAAAGTTCATATATACAAAAGGCGTTACAAACAGAATGTTGGATTTCTAAATAAAGCTAGTATGTGTATATACTATGTCTAAAGCCATCAATACGCACCGATACGGGCAAGAATTGGGAAAACACTTAAAAACTAAGACTTAAAACTAACTGGGATCAAAGAAACATTTGAACTGAAATAAGAAAAAAAGAACCTGAATGTAGAGAAATTTCATTTTCTGGGCGAGCTCTGGAGGCTCCCTGAAGCTATCCGAACTGATATAGTGCTATATTAGTGCCCACCACCCCTGAAGAAAAGGCAAAGCCCAGGGGGAAAAAGCTTCCAAGAATGGAGTCTCCTGGGGTAACCCAGAAGCCTCAGTGTGAAAAACGGGATTAACATCCTCCGCGGTCGAATCGGAAGGGCATCCCCCAAAGCCACCCAAGCCTCATCCCAAGCTAAACCCTGCCGCGACTCTGAAACCCTCAGACGTTTGGGAGCCAGAAGAAGGTAGGGAGGAGCAGGGCGAACCACGCCCACATGGAAAGGAAGCGGGGCCCCGAATGGAGCCCCCGCTTCCTTTCTTTCAAGGCTGAAGCAACCAACTACCCCAAATACGGGTCCCTAAAACCCAAGTGGAGCAGCTCCGGGGCTTCCATATGGGCGACCAACCTACCCTGTTGCAATAGGGTGAATCTAGCATGCAATACAGCCACTGCTGGATTCCTGAGATCATCAGGGATGACAAGGAATGAGTAAATTGAAGTACAACCGGGAAATAAGTCCCTCAAGACTCCGGGGGTCGTAGGTGTCCTCGACCCAACAGGCATCATGACGGAGGCAGTACGGATGATTGTTTCCCCTGAGGCAGGGGCGACAAACAACCTTTAACTTCGCACAAGGCGAATGTGAACGCTGAAGATGCATCCATGGTACCACTGAGTCCACAGGGGTTGTCCAGGGTCTGCAGGGTGAATAATCCCTATGGAAAGCCCAGACAGTGGGGCCAACTAAGCCAGTAGAACCCTGTATGTTAGCAGGAAAACTGACCACCAATATTAGCCATGAAACCATGAGGGCAACAGATGAGAACTACCAACACAACCTAGGAAAGCCTTAAAGAAACTAAGTAGACCTCCTCTGTACACAAAAAGCAAAAACGCTAGAAAAAACGAAAACAAAAACTCCCGAAGACACATCGTCGGCCACCGCATGTGCAAGTTGCGCCAACCGCAGTGCACCCCACCCAGCCAAAACACCCCTTACCCGAGGCAAGACGGAAAGCCCCAAGACCCCTGACACACCCCAAGGGCGAAAACGAAGAAGCGAAGAAGTCCTCAACAGGGAGTGATTTCCGAATGCCCCAGAAAAGATAACCTTAACATGCAAGGGTAGTACTTACAGAGCACCTAGGAAAGGAAGCCCTAGGTGCATGCAACTCCTGTACACTAAGACCACTGGCCACCACACCACACACAGCAGGAACAGCAACACATGGTGAAAATACAAAGCAGGAAGTTGAAGCCAGAGCCAATCCAACCGCCAACACATCAGTTCAAGAACTGGGATGGTGGCCTGCTGGTTCAACTGACTCTCCCCTTCGAGGAAGGGGTGGGGGGTAGCTCTAACAAGTGGAAGTGCTGGTTGGATTAGGTGTTGCTTGTTTGTTTTCTTTCTGTGGGAGTTCTTTTGCTCTTTTCAGACGTGGGTCACAATTTTCAACAGATTGTGGTCTGTTTTGTTTCACCTATCGTTTTGGGTGCCTTTCCCAGTCGATGGCAATTATGACAACTTTAAATGTAAAGTGCTCATAAGCCAGAAGTAAGTTTAACTAAATAAACAGACAGACTACAATTTTCTTTAAGTTTATACATGGCAGATATCAGCAGTTATACAAGTTGGTGAATATTCAATATTCTTTGAAAATAGCAAGACAGGTAGACATTAATGACAGGGCAGATCTCATCGAAACCTTTAAAATACTAAATAATTTGGAGGATGTGGTTCCGAGCAATTTCTTCAAAAGGTCAGATGTAACACGAACGAGGAGCAACAGGTTCAAGCTCAACAAGCCACAATGTAGAACATTAAACAGGAGATGCTTTTTTCACCCATAGGGTTATAAACTCGTGGAACTGCCTACCCGCCAAAGCTGTAAACGCCAAAACACTGCTGAGTTTTAAAATACAGCTGGAAAAGATCATCAGGGCAAATGGGGGATGGGGGGACCTTTGACAAGCAGCCGGCATCCTATCCTCGAGGCCACTGGTATTAGTAGACCCTCAGGTAAATTCATGTAAATTTAGGAGGTAAGGTAGGTTACATGGAGTTGATTAGGTAGTACTTAGTTTTCTCTTGAACTGGTTGAGTCTTTGAAGTGACTGGGAAGGTCATTCCACATTTTGGGACCCTTGACTTGCAAAGCATTTCTAGTTTGGTTAAGTCGCACTCTTGGAATATCAAAAAGATATTTGTTTCTAGTGTGGTGCCCATGGGTTCTGATACAATCTTCTAGGAAGCGTTGAAGGTCAGGATTAGCATTACAGTTCAGAGTTTTATATACATTATCTAGAGTACACTTGAGAGGATGTGCAGTGACTTAATATCTAACATATTCAAAGATTTAATTAAGGGGCCAAGTGCTGTCTGGAACCAGTTTGTTATTGTTCTAATAGCTGATTTGTGTTGAGAAATTAGAGGACATAGATGATTTTGGGTAGTAGAACCCCAAGCACAGATACCATAAATGAGATAAGGATAGATGAGAGAGTAATAGAGCGTTACCAGGGTAGGGCGAGGTACATAATACAGTGGCCCCTCCGTTTACGAATTTAATCCATTCCTAGAGACTGTTCATAACCTGAAAATTCACAACCCGAAACAAATTTTCCCATAAGAAATAATGTAAATTGAATTAATCCATTCCACACTCCCAAAAATATTAACTTCAAAATACATTTCATACCTAATAAACACAAATATTTAGTACTATAGTATGTATAAGTTATAGTTTACCTTTGTTGATGACTCTTCTTGGTGTATGGAAGATGGTGAGGAGGGGGAGGGGGAGAAAGAGATGTGCTAATGTTTAAAAGGGGAGTCCCTTTCTATTATAACATCAGGCAGTGATGACTTCTCTGGGGTACTCTCTCTCCTACGTTTTGCCGGCATACCATTAGGACCTGGGGGGGAAGGGGGAGCAGAGGCATTCGAGTCTAGTCTCCCGGCCGAAGCTTCTGGGTCTGACCAGTGGGGCCCCCTTTCTTCCGGCTTCTACGGCTGCTTTGTCCTTGTCTTGTGGGGTCGGTGCTTGGGGAGAGGACTCGGCCCCGGGTCCTGCTGTGAAGGACCTCGAGGCTGGGGAGGGGCTGACTTGGGGGCCTTGGGCCCCGCTGGACCCCGCTGGACCCCACCTGGGTTTTTCTTCCCTCTGAGGAGGGCTTGTTGTTACAAGGTGTGGGGTTTTCTTTTCCCCCCTCTGCGTACAAGTTGGGTTTGGTGTCAGCCCCTCCCCAGATACGGTTCTGTGTTCCCCCGGTGCGTCGGTTCCATCTTTTCGGAGGTTTTCGGCTTATCACATCCAACCTGGTGTGGTGCGGGCGGCCCTTGCAGCTTACCTCCTGCGTGACCTAGATTATGCTTCGGAAATGGATCCGTCTGAGTTCAGGTTTGGGACTTCGTTCCCTTTCTGGCTCCGTTACGAAGTTCCGGAGTCTTCCTGGCTAGCGGAATGCCCCTTGTTTGTTCTGGATTCCTGGCATTCCTTCTGTCGTTCCCGCACGCTGGAGTGGCGGGAAGCTTCCACGGTGATCCAGGTTTTCCTGGGGGGCAATTTTGAGTACCTGAACTTGGCTTGTTTGCCCCTGCCCTTCCCCGCAATGTGGGTGATGTTCAGCTCCATGTGCAGGTTCCCACCCTTTCGGCAGCGCTCGTGGCGGAGGACTTGCGCGCCTGGGGCCTTTTGGCTTCGGCCCTGCGGTTCTTTTCCCTCTTGAAGCTGTCCTCGGATTGGCTCGTGGAGGATGAGGACGCTTGGGTCCGTCCCGGGGTCCGGTGCCTTGTCCTCAGCGGCGCCTTCGTCGGCTGCCTTGTTGAAACTTTTCACGCCGATTTTGCGGGATGCGGTTCCCCCGTTTTATGCTTCTCGTCTCGCGTGTCGGCAGGTAGTGCTGGGTTCCTCCATGGAATCTGCTTGGGCTCTGGCTCTTAGGCTGTCGTCGCCTTTTTGTCCTCTTCTGTTTGCGGAGTCGGCCGTGGTGCAGGTTAGCCAGGCTGCGTCATCGGCTTGTCGTCCGATGTCGGACTTGTTGGTTTTCCGGGGGTCCCGGGGTGGGTCTTCCCGGAAGGGTTCGGGGTTCCTCTCGTCGTGGTAGGCCACTGGTGTCAGGTTCGGGTTCGACTCATGCTTCAGACCCGCCCTCGACTGGTTGGTGCGGTGTTCGCTCTCTGCGGGGTTCTAAGTCTCGTAAGGGGCGCTGGCCCTTTCGCAGTTTGCCTCATTGACGGGGCGATGGGGGGGCGGCTTGTGCTGTTCGTCCACGCCTGGTCCCACGATTCGTGGGCGTTTCGGGTCGTGTCTGTCGGCCTGCAGTGGCGTTAGGTGGTTGCCCCCCCCCCTTTGGGGGGTCGGGGCTGGCAGGGCTGGTTTCTTCCCATGCGCTCTGTCAGGTCATCTTGGAATGGGTTCGCTTGGGCGTCGTCAAAACGACGTCGTCCCTCAGATGGGTTTCCCGTCAGTTTCCGGTCCCGAAATGGGACTGCGCGGACCTGCGGTTCATTCTGGACTTGTCCCGTCTGAACCCCTGGGTTCATTGCCCCTTCTTTTGCATGACTACGTTGTCTCAGGTTCGGCTCCTCTTGGAGCCGGGCGCTTGGATGGTGTCCCTGGACCTCTGGGACACTTATTGGCATGTCCCGATTCATCCGAGGTTCTGGGACTGGCTCGGTTTTGTTCGAAGCATCTGAGTTACCGCTTTCGTTGTCTCCCATTCAGGTTGAACTTGGCAACTCGTGTGTTCACATGCCTTACACGGGTCGTGGTGGCCCATTTGCGTCTCTTAGGTGTTCGGGTGTTGGCCTACCTCAACGACTGGCTGGTTTGGGCTCCCAGCCAGTCGGCTGGCTTGCTAGCCAGGGATTTGGTTCTTTCCCAGCTCGCCAGGCTTGGGTTCTTGGTGAACTGGAGGAAGTCCCATCTGGTCCCCTCTCAGGTTCGGACTTGGCTGGGTCTCGTTTGGGACTCTTGGACCGCCTCCTTGTCTCTCCCTCCGGAGTCTCTCCTGCAGCTGTGGTCCCGCCTTTGTCTGTTTCTGGTGGGCCCTCGGGTCACCCGGCGGTTGCTTGAGGGGCTGTGTGGGAGCCTGAACTTTGCGATGGTAGTCTACCTGCCGGGTCGGGTTTGGCTTCGTCGGCTCATCTGGTTCCTTTGGGGTCGCCCCTTCCACCTCTCTCGCGATCGCTGGGTTCGACCCCCAGGGGCCTTGCGTCGGCTGCTGCGTCACCGGCTTCCTCTTCGGGTTTTTCGGGGTACAGTGCCTTGGCACCTACCCAAGCCCTCGTGCGATGTGTACACAGATGCGTCATCTCTCGGCTGGGGCTTTGTGACCAGTGCTCACCAGGCCGGCCAGGGGCATTGGAGTCTGTCCTTCCATCGAGCTCACAGCACGGTGTGGGAGTTTGCGGCAGTGTGGTTTGCTTTTCGGAGGATTCGGGTCACCGCGGATCGACGATTGGGCTCCATTCGGACTGCTCTCCGGTCGTTCATTGCCTGAACCGCGGGGGTTCGATGCGGTCCTTGTCTCTTTGGGGTTGGTCGCTTCGGGTGACTCGTCTGCCGAGAGTTCTCAGGGTTTGGCTCTCCTGGCGGTTCACGTACAGGGAGTGTCCAACGTCTTGGCCTATGGCCTGTCTCGCTTCATTCCCCTCTCCACGGAGTGGACAGTCGACGACGCTTCCTTCCGTTGGCTTTGCCAGACGTTCGGGCGCCCCGAGGTGGACCTCTTCACGTTGGCGTGGTCGAGGCACCTTCCCGTGAATGCGGCGCCCTTCCCCGATCGCGAGGTCGTCAAGGTCGATGCCTTTCTGCTGGACTGGTCGAGGTGGGGGTTCTTGTACCTCTTTTCCCTGGTTCGGATGTTACTCCAGGTCCTGACTCGCTTGGAGACTTACCAGGGAAGAGTTGTCCTTCTGGTCCCTTGGTGGCCAGCCCAGCCTTGGTTTCAGGCGCTGCCTGCTCGGTGTCCGAACCCAAAGGTTTTCCAGTGGCTCCGCCTTTTTCAGCAGATTGGGCTGGTATGTCACATGGCTGGTTCAATCTTCTCCTCGAGTATTCGTGTATGGTTTTTTTTGACTCGAGTCTATCATCATCTCTATGGTGATCAGGTGGCCTCCTTGTTGGTATCCCACCTGAGGGCTTCTTTTCGGTGGCAGTATGAAGTTTCCTGGCGGTCCTTCTGTTTCTTTTTGCATCTTCGTCGTGTTAGCTTGTTGTCTGTTAGGGTGGTCTTGTCTTTTCTCTCTTGGTTGTTTAAGGATCGTCATCTTATGCCTAACACTGTCGCCTCGTATCGTGCGGTGCTGGTGGAGTCGCTTCAGCTTACCTTCAGTCTCAATGTTACGTCTGCGCCGTTTCGCAAGCTGTCTCATGCTTTGTTTCACCTCCGGCCTGCTCATGTGCCACCTGAGCCATCCTCGTCTTTGGACAGAGTGCTCGCTTAACTTTTGTCTCCTCGTTTTGTTGAGGCCCCTTCGGTCCGGGATTGTTTCTCCAAGGCTCTTTTCTTGTTGACATTAGCCTCTGGGGATCGGGTCGGGGAGCTTCATGCTCTCCTCCAGCGCAGGGGTTTCTGCTCTTTTGGTCGTGGAGATTGTTTTGTTCACTTGCAGCCATCTCCTTCTTTTCTGGCAAAGAATGAGACTGCTGCATTCCGGAGGGGCCCTTGGGTGGTTGATGCTTGGTTGGTACGGCCGGGGGTGCATCATGTTTGGTGTCTGGTTGCGGCGCTTCGCCGTTATTTGCGCGCCACAGCTTCTGTGTCCGGGGACGCGCTTTGGGTTGATCCGGTTTCCCTTCTTCCCTGTTCGCGGGTTTGGGTCCCGCAGGTCGTCCGCAGGGTTATCAAATCCAGCCAGCCTGCGGTCTATCCCCGTGCCTATGATATCCGTAAGTTTGCGGCCCTTGCTGCTGTCTTTGGGAATATGTCTTGGTCTGATATTCGGGCGCGGGGATTTTGGCGGTCGAACAGGGTCCTGGCTGCTCGTTATCTCGTGAATGTCCCTGGGCCCCGTCGGGCCTGTGTTGCTTTGGGTCGGCGATTGCAGCCAGTTGTCTCGACTTCGAGTTGATGAGTGAGCGACGACTGCCTCCCGGGTAAGTCCCTCTTTTTCCGTCTGTGAGTAGTTAGCTCCGGGGAGCCGACGGGGCTCCCCCAGAAAACCAGCGTTGAATGTAATGAAATGCCATTTTCTGGGCGAGTCCTGGAGGCTTCCCGGCATCCCTCCCTCCCTCCGGTCGGCGGTTTTTCATGTTTTTGACATCCAGCCTCAGAACTGAGGTGTGGGTAGCCAGCGTGAAGGGTCTATGCAGCTTTCCCCTTCCCCCTCTCGGGGAGGGGGAAGCTGCATAGACAGTGGTGCGGTCTCAAACTAGTGTGACATGTGACATCACACTAGTTTGCTTGTTTTCTGTTGGGGAGCTCTATCCACTAGTTCGGCTTTTGGTAGCAATTTTAACCAGAATAGGGGTTTGTTTTGAGGCGCTTGCTATTCTGGGTGCCTGTTCCGGTCGATGGCAGACATAGAATGCTTCCAACCTGACGGGGATTTCTATAGGCCATTGTTCCCCTTGCCTCTCTGAGGGGGGCCCGGTTCTGGCCGTGGTCCCCGGTAGGCCTAAGAACTCCATACACACGACTGATGCCAAAGTCTGACATTAGCATATCAGCTTGGGAAAGCTCCAGGGAGCCTCCAGGACTCACCCAGAAAATGGCGTTTCATTACATTCAACGCTGGTTTTTTTGGTGAAAAGAAATTCATCGTTTGAAAGATGATTTCATGATAAAGTGATGATGAAGCAATTTCAGGTCATAGAATAAAGAATGAATCTGAGTGAATTTGAAGGTAGGAGGATTAGAAGATACAGAAGTTGGACAGACATGGCATGCAAGTGTGCGATAATGCATAGATTGAGTGAGGACTGAGTACATATTGTGGTGAGTATCAAGGCTGATTGAAAGCAGTTTGTCAAGAGTGAACAAATGACATTTTTGAGTATGACGAAATACACTAACACACATTGTATCAATATTACTAATGATAACAACTTTTAAGATGCAAAATAAAATAAAAAACTTCCACCCATAATAATTTATCAAAGACATCCAATGCAGCACAAAGTCCACAACCTTATGTGAACTCCACAGGTTGAGTCCACAACCTCAAGTTTGGCATGTCATCATGGAAAACAAGTAAGTTAACATTTCTCCACTCACGGAGCAATAAAGCAATGGAAGAGTTTGCCAGCAAAAACTTTTGAAGAAAGAGCAATTAGGGCATCCATTTGAAGCTACAGGCATCCTGTTCCTAATAAAGCTACAAGATATAGTGACTATAGTTTAGTTTAGTCACTAGATATAAGTTTAATAATGATAATAATAATAATAATAATAAATAATAAATATCATTACTATTATTTTCACTCACTGTTCCATTGCAGTAGTCTGGTGGCTCAATAAGAGGGTAGTGTTTAGCCAGATCAAAAGCCACATTATCCATAAACCATTTGAAAGGTTTACACTTGTTTCGTTCCCGTACAGCCAGTTGCTCACTGATATCTCCAGTGTCCACCTGAAAATTATGACAAATTACAGTATATACTTGTGATAAATAACCCAGCCCAAACAGAGAAAAACTGAAAGTGATGTGAAAACCAAGCCATATACCTACTCCATACAGTCACGACATTATAAGGGTCCAGGATAAACAGAAATGTTGTCACTTTCATTTCTTTCTTTCCTGTGTGTTGGTTGGATTATTTGTTTCAGCCACATTAATAAGCAATATGTCCATGATCAATAAGAAAAAGATGTTATGCAGTACTCAAATTATAATTTTGTAAGACAAAACTGCAAAAACCAGTAATGAATGTAATGAAACTCCATTTTCTGGGGGGAGACTCTACAGCTCCCTGAAGCTAACGGACTGATATCCATTATGTTAGTCTAGAGCATCAGTTAATTGGAGTTCTCTGCCTACCGGAAACCACAAACCAGAACCTGGTTCTTTCAGAGAGGTGAAGGGAGTAATGGCTTATGAAACACTCAACTTTGTGAGAGTACAGTCACGTCTGCCATCGATTGGGTATCATCCAGAAAGGTAGGAGGACCATTACAAACCCCAACTGGTAAAGCATTGCAACCCAAGACCAAACAGAGCCCAGAATTTCCCCCAAGAGGAAACAGCAAACAAACAAATATCCACTCAACAAGCACTCCTGCTTGTTAGTGACACCCCTCCTTCCTCCCAAAAGAGGGGAGTGGGCCCCGCCCCAGGCAGCCAAGTGCTGACACCGGCAGTTCGTAGACTAATAACAAACCGCTGACCGAAGGGAGCGGAGGTGTTAGGGAGCCTCCAGGGCTCAACCCAGAAAATGGCCTTTCATTACATTTAACACTGGTTTTCTGGAGGGAGTCCCTATAGGCTCCCTGAAGCTATATACACACAGATAAGTAAAACCAGGAACTTACCCGGGCGGCAGCAGCACTGCATGCCTCAAGACGAAGATGGCACAACTGCCTGCAACTGATAGCCCAAGACCACACACAGCTGCTGAGGGCTCAGAACATTCACAAGATAACAAACAACAAGAATGTCAAACTCTAAGTCTCTGTACTCTCATAAACCCAATGTACCTTCTTGTATATAAATAAATAAATAAATAAATAAATAAATAAATAAATAAATAAATACTGTAAATAAATATTGGGCGGCCAGGGCCCTATTCGATCTCCAAAACCCCCAAGCCCAAATGCTAGCCCAAGACGTTACCAAAAATTGCAGCATGAGCTGAAAACTTCAGTACAGACTGCAGACTGGCTAGACTTGATAACCCTGCGGATGACCTGAGACCCAAGCCCTGGAACACGGAACGAGGGACACCGGATCTACCCAAAGCGCGTCCCCGGACACAAAACTAGAGGCGTGCAAATAACGGCGGAGAGCAGCAACCGGACTCAAAACATGATGCACCCCCAGCCTGACAAACCAAGTATCAGTAACCCACGGACCCCTCTGGATGCAAGCCATTTCACTCTTCGCAAGAAAAGAAGGAGACGGCTGCAAACGAACAAAACAACCCTAGGACGAAATGAGCAGAAACCCCCTGAGCCAGAGGAGAGCATGCTTGACCCCCAAGAAACCAAAGACAACAAAAACAAAGCCTTTCCAAAACAATCATGAACTGAAGGGGCCATCACAAACCGAGGAGAAGAGAGATAAGAGAGCACCTGATCCAAAGACCAGGATGGCTCAGGTGGCACATGAGCAGGCCGGAGATGAAAAAACGCAGAACTCTATTCTGCAGGAGAGCTTGCAGAACGGAGCAGAAGTGACATCTACCCTGAACGCAAGCTGGAGTGGCTCCGCCAATGGTGCATGATAAGAAGCAACAGTATTCGGCATTCGGCATACATTCAGCATTTTTTCAACCAGACCTGAAAAAAACAAGAAAGGACAAAACAACATGATCAGAAAGGGACGACAACCTACAAAGAGAAAGGAAATGGCATAAAGACTGCCATGAGACTTCATACTGTCGCTGAGAGGAAGACCGCAGGTTGGACACCATCAGAGAAGCCAGAGAAGTGGGACACCCTGAGTACACTAGTACACCTGGCCAACACCCAAACAAATAAGAGGCACAATCCCACGGTAAAATCCAGACAGGAGAACAAGGCCAGCGATTATGTCCGCTCTATAAGACATCAGTCGATGAACTACCAGTGTCAGCGCTTGGCCGCCAGGGCGGGGCCCCCTCCACCCGCCTCCCTCTGAGGAGGGGGGGGGGGGTCGCTAACTAGCAGGTGCTAGTTAGCGAACGCTAACTCGTTTTATTTTTGAGTGGATATTAGCTTGTTTGTTGTTTCCTCTTTGGGGGAGTTCTTGAGTTCTATTCGGTCTTGGGTTGCAATGTTTTACCAATTAGGGTTTGTAATGGTCCTCCTACCTTTCTGGGTGATAATCCTAGTCAATGGTAGGTATGACTATATTCACACAAAGTTGAGTGTTTCATATGCCATTGCTCCCTTCGCCTCTCTGAGAGAACCAGATTCTGGCGTGTGGTTCCTGGTAGGCAGAGAACTCCAATTAACTGATGCTCTAGACTAATGTAATGGATATCAGACTGTTAGCTTCAGGAAGATGTACGGGCTCCCCCCAGAAAAGAGGTAAATAATTTTTTTAGCTGGACACAGAAAAAGTATACATAAATTTTACTATGAAATTTATACAAAAAGCCTAGTGTCACCTGGTGTGCAAAAGCCTAGACAATAACATACCATCAATTCTACCAAACTTTAAGATCAAAGCCAGGTTATTCTTTTTAAGTACAGAAAGGGGCTCATGTAACTTGGGACACCTTTACTGAATGTTTCATCATAGTCATGAACTTAGAAAACCTGATGAAACATTGAATAACTAAATTTTTCCAAAATGGTAATAAATCTCACTTAGAACAAAACACTGATCTATAAACTTAGCAACAGCTAAAACTTTTTTATTTATTTAAGCATTTTAATGTGACTAAGATGGCTGGAATATGGTGTTAGATCTTGCTGCACTTTGCATAAACTAACTATAAAGTAAATAACTTACCTCCAGCCATCCAGGTTGTCTCATATATAGAAACTTTTTATAGTCATCCATCCACACTTCTGCCACACGACGATAGTTCTACAAAGTGAGGGACAGTTTAATATTTGTTGAACTGGAAACTCATGCATAGTTAGATCATTATCATTACCCTCTTTCCCCACCCTCATAGGGTAGGTATCAGTCCAGCAATGATAGCAGAGCAATATATAAAAATAGGTTTAAAGATATATAAATATACATGCTTCCAATCACTATAGTACATAAGAACATCAATATAACCAATATGTATACATTCTGTAAATGTTACTGGAAGCAAAAAAAAGTGAGAAAATAAGAAAAAAATAAAAAACCAGCATTGAACGTAATGAAACGCTAGTTTCTGGGTGAGACCCGGAGGCTCCCCGGAGCTATACCGGGCTGATGTGTATATATTAGACCATCGCAACAGTCAATTGAAGGAGTTCTAGGCCTACCGAGAACCAGAGCCAGAACCTGGCCCCCTCAAGAGAGGCACGAGGAGCAATGGCCTAAAGACACCCCGTGTAATTAGAAGCAGTCTTTGTCTGCCATCTACCAGGTCAGACCCCCAGAAGGGTAGGAATTCCAAAACAAACAACTGCTGATCAAATAATTTGCAAACCGAAAGCCGAACTAGCAACAGAACTCCCCAATCAAAACCAAGGAAACTAGTATGACGTCACCACAAGCGCAGCGCATCTGCACATGCACATAAGGGGTATAACTGGGTGACCCTTCACAGTGTTCAAGGGAGAACTTGACAAACATCTCCAAAGGATACCTGATCAACCAGGCTGTGACTCATACGTCAGGCTGTGAGCAGCCACGTCCAACAGCCTTGTTGACCAGTCCAGCAACGAGGAGGCCTGGTCGACGACCGGGCTGCGGGGTCGCTGAGCACCGGAATCACCTCAAGGTAACCTCATGGTAGGTATCCATCTGCACAACTCCTCCCCTACCCGGGAGGGGGACGGAGAGGTCCCAGACCTCCATGCCGGCAACTCCGGGAGCCTCCGGGTCTCACTCCATTAATGGTGTTTCATTGCATTCAACGCTGGTTTTCTGTGGAGAGCACCTTCGGCTCCCCGGAGCTACCTAACCAAAGATAAAGAAAAAGAGGGACTTACCCGGGAGGCAGTCGTCACTTGCTCGTCAACTCGAAGTCGAGACAACTGGCTGCAACCTGCGACCCAAGGCTACACACGTCCGAGAAGGGCCAAGAACATTAATGAGATACCATGCGACCAGGACCCTGTTTGACCTCCAAAAGCCTCATGCCCGAATATCAGCCCAGAACATATTCCTGAAAACAGCAGCCAAAGCCGCGAACTTATGAACCTCGTGGACACAGGGATAGACCGCAGGATGGTTGGACCGAATAATCCTGCAGAAGGCCATGGGAGACCCACGCCCTGGAACAGGAAAGAAGGGAAACCGGGTCCACCCAAAGCTCGTCCCCTGGCACGGAGGCCGTGGTGCGCATATAACGACGAAGAGCTGCAACCGGACACAAAACATAATGCACCCCCGGCCAAACCAACCAAGCATCAACAACCCAAGGACCCCTTCGGAAAGCAGCAGACGCATTCTTCGCCAGAAAAGAAGGAGAAGGCTGTAAACAAATGAAATGACCACCAGGACTGAAAAAGTAGAAACCCCTGCGCTGGAGGAGAGAGCATGAAGCTCCCAGACCCGACCCCGAGAGGCCAATGCCAACAGGAAAAGAGCCTGAGAAAAACAGTCCTGAACCGAGGGAGCCACCACAAACCGAGGAGAAGAGAGAAAAGAGAGCATCCGGTCCAATGACCAGGACGGCTCAGGTGGCGCATGAGCAGGCCGGAGGTGAAACAACGCCCCGAGAAAGCTTGCGGAACGGAGCAGAAGTGACATTCACCCTGAAGGCAAGCTGCAGCAGCTTCGCCAGCGCCGCATGATACAAGGCGACAGTATTTGGCATGAGATGACGGTCCTGAAACAAACAAGAGAGAGAAAGGACAAAACAACCCGATCAGAAATCGAAGACAACCTACGAAGAGACAAAAAATGCTGAAAGAACCGCCAGGAAATTTCATACTGCCATCTAGACAAAACTCGCAGATGGGACACCATCAACGAAGCCACCTGATCACCACACAAGTGGTGATACACCCACGTCAAAACCGTCCATTCCATGGAAAGGGGAATGAACCGAGACAGGCCATCTGCCAGGACGTTTGATACCCCCTGAACATGAACCGCCAGGAGAGCCAAACCCCGAGAACTCAGCAGACAAGTCACCCAAAGCAACCAGCCCCAAAAAACCAAGGACCGCATCGAACCCCCGCGGTTCAGGCAATGAACTACTGGGGAGCAGACCGAATGGAGCCGGATCGTTGCTCCTCGAATGACCTGAATCCTCTGAAGCGAATGCCACACCGCCGCAAACTCCCACCCCGTGCTGTGAGCTCGATGGAAGGACAGACCGCACCGACCTTGGCCAGTCTGGTGAACACTTGTCACAAAACTCTAGCCAAGAGACTAGGCATCCGTGAACACATCGAGCGAGGGCTCGAGAAGGCACCACAGCACAGAACCCCGAAAAACCTGCAGAGAAAGCCGGTGATGCAGCAGCCAACGCAAGGCTCCTGGGTTCCGAACCCACCGATCGCGAGAGCGGCGGAAGGGATGACCCCGAAGAAACCAGAACATCCGCCGAAACCAGATCCAACCCGAAGGGTAGGACAGCACAGCGAAGTTCAGGCTCCCACACAGCTGCTTGAACAAGCGACGTGTGACCCAGGTGCCCTCCAAAAACAGCTGGAGGCGGGACCGCAGCCACAACAGCGTCGCAGGAGGAAGAGACAAGGAAGCGGTCCGAGAGTCCCACACAAGACCCAGCCAAGTCCGAACCTGAGAGGGAACCAAATGGGACTTCCTCCAGTTCACCAAGAACCTGAATCCAGTGAGCTGGGAAAGAACCAAATCCTTGGCAAGCAGACAAGCGGACTGGCTGGGAACCCACACCAGCCAGTCATCGAGGTAAGGCAGAACCCGAACCCCTAAAAGACGCAAATGGGTCACCATGACCCAGGTAAGGCGTGTGAACACTCGAGGAGCCAGATCCAAGCCGAATGGAAGGCAACAAAAGCAGTAAGCTTGTCGGCCTACGACAAAACCGAGCCAGTCCCTGAACCCTGGATGAATCGGGACGTGCCAATACACGTCCTGGAGGTCCAGACACACCATCCAGGCACCCGGCGCCAAAAGCAGCCGGACCTGAGACAGAGTGGTCATTCGAAAGGAGGGGCAAAAGACCCAGGGATTCAGATGAGACAAGTCCAGTATGAATCGCAGATCTGCACAGTCCCGTTTCGGAACTGAAAACAGGCGGGATACCCACCTGAGGGACGTTCTCATTTCGACCACACCCAAGCAAACCCACTCCCGATGACCTGACAGAACACAGGAGAAGAGGCCTACCCTGTCAGCCCTGATCCCCCCGAAGAAAGGGGAGCAACTCAACGCCACCACAGGCCAGAGGAAACGACCTGAAATTGAAATGCCCACAAATCGTGGGACCAGGCGAGAGCAAACAGAGCGAGCCTTCCCCCTATTGCCCCGTCAATGGGGCAACCCGCGAAAGAGCTGACGACCTCCCTACGAGAGCCTGACTGACGCTCAAAAGTGATCACTGCGCTGACCAGACGCCGACGGCTCCAGAGGAGGTGCCGGCCCCAAATCTGGCACTACTGGCTTACGACGACCAAAGGAACCCCAAGACTTGGCACAACCCTTCCAGGCAGGACCACCACAGCCCCCCCGGAGAACCAACAAGTTCGACATAGGCCGGCAACTAGACAGAGCCGCTTGCAGAAAATGAACCACCGCAGATTCTGCAAACAATTACGGACAAAAAGGGGATGAAAATCTAAGAGCCAGGGCCCAAGCCGATTCCAAAGAGTGGACGAGCACCGCCTGTCGTCACGCGAGATGAGAAGCAAAGATCAGGGACACTGCCTCCCTCAGAATCAGCACAAACAACTTCAACAAGGCAGCCGACACCCAAGCTGCTGAAGCAAACACACCGGACATCGGCCTAGATCCCAGTTCCTGCACATCCTCACCAAGCCAGTCCGAAGACAGCTCCAGTAGAGAAAAGAAACGCAAGACCGAAACCAAATGCCCCCGGGTTGCTCAAATCCTCGGCCACCAGGGACGCCAGAAGGGAGAGAACCTGCACATGAAGCTGAATCTGACCGACGTCACGAGGAAGGACGGGGGTGAACAAGCACGGATTGAGGTGCTCACATTTGCCCCCTAAGTAAACCTGAACAACCGTAGTCACTTTCTGCCATTCAAGCGCACGGGTCTGACAGAACGAATGCCACGCCCCCAATGAAAAGAATGTGCAGTCCGCCAACCAGGAAGACTCCAGCACCTCGTAATGCATCCAGATAGAAAATGAGAAGCCAAACTCGAAAGAAGAAGGATCCATTACCGAGGCGTAATCCGGGTCTCACAAGAGGTAAGCTGCAAGGGCTTCCCGCTCCACCTTTGATGTGATGCGGGAAGGCAAAAACCTCTAGAAGGGAACCGGGGAACCCAAGGGAACCTGGAACCGAACCTGGGGAGGAATCGCATCCATATCAAACTTGTACAGGGAGGGGGGACAGGAAAACCCCTCCCCCTGTAACAACAAGCCCCGTGCCGAGGGTACCAACACCCAAGCGGGGTCAAACGGGGCCCAAGCACCCCAAGTCAACTCCTCCCCAGCCCCGGGAACCTCCATGTCAGGACCTGGGGCCGAGCTGTCCTCCAAACCCTCTGCCTCTGGAGAAAAGGCAGAGTCCGCCGGAAAAGCCGGGATGAAGGGGGCCCGCTGGCACGACCCAAGGGCTCCAGCAGGAGAAACAGGCTCGAATTCCTCCGTCACCGATCCGGAAGGGGCATTCCCCAAAGCCGCCTGAGACTCCTCACCAGGCAAACCCTGCCCCGGCTCTGAAACCCTCAGACGTTTGGGAGCCGGGAGCAGGGGGGAGGGACAGCAGGATGAATCAGAGCAGGGGAAGGACTAAGGAGTG